CGGGACTAATCGTCTGAGATACGCTGTACCTCGATGTTTTTCGTTCAATTTGCGTCGAGCAAAACAGGTCGTTTTGGTGGACCAATCTTGTGTTACACTGCTCTTTGGCCCAAACCCTCTTTCTGACCTGTACACTTCACGCAATGGAATGGTTACTCAGGGCCGGCTGTCCCCGCCAACTTGCCACAATTGAACCAGTAATCCAAGTCATACCAGATCCAATTCCGGAGATCCCGGTATTGCTACCAGAAAAAACCTGTATAGCCATATCGCCCAACTTACAGTATAACTATATAAAGAAAGGTAAACAAACCGTATCCATTTGCCAATGAAAAATGTATATTATGGGAAATGTTTCGTTCTTTCAGATATCCTGTGAATGTGGATATTATGTATGTGTACAGTTACAAGTGTCAAACTATATGTGCTGCATATTGTCTAGGCTGTAGTGGGGTAGCCCATATAGGGTACAACCCAATTAGGGTTTACTACTTGTACTCCTGCATCCTGTTAGTTCACATCATTCCTGCTGCTAGATTCTAACATGGTATCAGAGCACTAAGGTCCGTAGGACCGTTTTTTTTTCGGGCCCACCTACCGCTGCGGTTACCGCGCTACCCCACGTGCCTGCCTGCCTTGCCTTGCCTTGTGACGTGCTGCCCTAGGCCGGTGCGCTGCCCCTAGAGGCCCGTAAGGCCCACGCGCCGCCTCTACACGCCTGTCAGGCCCGCAAACACACTTCTACCGCGCGCTGCCCGCACCGAGACCGCGCAGCCCGCACCGAGTCGCGCGCAGCCCGCTGCAGCCACGCGCAGCCCGCACCGAGCCGCGCGCAGCCCGCTGCAGCCGCGCGCAGCCTGCACCGAGCCGCGCACAGCCCGCTGCAGCCGCGCGCAGCCCGCACCGAGCCGCGCGCAGCTCGCAGCTGCCGCGCGCAGCCCGCGCCGAGCCCACGCAGCCCGCGTCGAGCCGCGCGCGGCCTGCTACGGCCTCGCGAGGCCCGCGCGCGGCCCGCAGCAGCCCGCGCCGAGCCGCGCGCGGCCTGCTACTGCCTCGCACGGCCCGCGCGCGGCCCGCAACAGCCCGCGCCGAGCCGCGCGCGGCCCGCTACTACCTAGTGCGGCCGCGCGCGGCCTGCAGCAGCTCCGCGCGCTGTCCGCGCAGCCCGCGCCGAGCCGCGCGCGGCCCTCTGCCTCGGCCCCGACCTGCCGCTGATGCGGCCCCGCCCTGCAGCTGCC